GGAAAAAAAAAAAAAAAAAAGAGTCGACAGCATAAATGTTTCTTTAGGAAAACAACTTTGGTCGGCCGATATGTCAGTCCAGTTTGTGCTCAGGACGCGCAGTTTTGTTGGTGACGCCTACATCATATTCTGTGCGTGCAGAGAGAGACGCAACATGTTTCCCCATCTGAATGCCCAAGGGGTAAGGAACGACTCTTGTCTTTTTAAGAGCCTCACGAGCGGCCTCTTCTGTTTTCCAGTTACTGCGTGGGGATGTGCGGAGACGGCGCCAACGACTGCGGGGTAGGCCACCCTCCTTGTTCCCCGTCGTGCTTTTTTGTTAAAATTGTTCTCCACACCGATTATGACATGCCAAGGTTGTTGCGCCTTGCAAGATAGGCTGCCATTCTGTTCTTGTTCAAGTTGACCAAGGGAATAAGATGAGACAGAAAGTCTCTTAAAGATTCAGGTGAGATCATGTTATGGCCGGACGCAACCCTCCGTCAGCCTCTGCCGGCAGCTCCAGAGATAGCCAGGTGTGGTCCCTCGGAGCCACCAATCTGCCCAGGTTGCACCGAAAAGCCGTGAACAAGGCCATCTTTAGTCCACCAAGAGAGGTTTGGCTTCTCCGCCCCCCCCCCAGCATTTCTCATTTTTAAAATAAGTTTCCTGGTGAAGGATTGTCTCCTGTCCTCCGGAGACTCAGAAGCCCTCCTCAGATCATTGCAAAGCCTGAGCCGAGAGAGGGCTTCGGCCCCAGCCCAGCCCAGCCCAGCCAGCGGCTGTCCGGAATAATTTCTCAGGTTCCCTGGTGGCTCGGAGAGGCTGCACTTGGCGAAGGCTGCCCGCTCTTCAGGCAGGGCTTCTTCAGGGGGAGATGACCCCCCCCCGCAGGGCACCGGTGGGGCTAGGATTCTCTCTCTCACACGCACACACCCTGCTCATGCTTTCAGGTTAATCCTCTTGAACAGGGCTGCAGTGTCTGGAACATGGCAGACCCAATCCCTCCCCCCCCAAATCCACCTCCATTTTCCTCCGGCACATGAGAATGCCTTCCTGCTCAGCCTGATGGGCTTTGTTTCTTTGTTGTTCCTCAGGCTTTGAAAACAGCTCACGCTGGCATCTCCCTCTCCGAGCAGGAGGCCTCGGTGGCTTCGCCCTTCACCTCCCAAACCCCCAACATCGAGTGCGTGCCGGAGCTGATACGGTGGGTCCTGCTTCACCCCAGTCAGCGGTTGTGATGCTGGGGCCAGCCCCCATTTCACACACACCCCGAAGGGGACAGATAAAGCATGGCGGCTCTCCTGCCCCTTCCCTTCTCATTAGGTCTTTGCAGAATGAACGCACCCGGAGCGAGCCTGGCCCGGCTTCCAGGCTGGCACGTGCTCGGCTGCTTGCGCTCACCACAGCCCTTCCTTTCCGGAGGGCTGAACCTTTCCTTCCCAGCCCTGCGCCACCTCCTCATCCCTGAGCTGCTCCGGGCAGATCCCTCCATCCTCTTATCCTCTCCGTTCCTCTCTCCACCCCAGGGAAGGACGGGCCGCCCTCGTCTCCTCCTTTGCCGTCTTTAAGTTCATCACCCTCTATGCGCTTCAGGCCTTCATTGCCACTGCCCTGCTTTATTGGGTATGTATTTGCCTAGTGAGTTGGCACAACCAACAGAGGGTGGGTTTCAGACGGCATGTCCTGGAAGTGGGAAGATGGAGCATCCTTGCTGATCAAGGGGAGCTGGAGAGTTTGGTCTGGGAGCAAGAGAGAGCAAGGCCACCCTTGGCGTCTTAGGCTGGGCAAGAAGAAGACACGGTCGGGAAGACCCATGTGAGCCTCGCGTTGTGTCTCCACCACCGTTTCCCACCCCCACCCCCAGGAACTCGCACGCCATCACGGCCATGCTCCACCTCCAAAGTCCTGGCCTGAAAGTGTGTTATTTTGGGGTATTTCTGTGAAGTTCTTTGCCTCGTGCCTGACAATAAAATGCTAATTTAAAGGCATCTGTGCCCTCAAAGCCTTCATTGGGCCCCTCCCTTCACATCTTTTTGGCGACAGCTCAAAACCTGCCTTTTAAAGCAGGCTTTTAAGAACCAAAGTGGGCAAGGCTGGGTCTGTTCTTGAGGCTTTTAGAGGCCTTCTTAAAGCTTTCAGAAGTTTGGATTTTGTTTGCTTTAATTCTTTGTTCAACTTCATTGTGTTTTTAGCCTGACTTCTTTAAAGTCCATCACCTTGTGAGCCTCCTGAGGTCCCCCTCATTGGGAAAGGGCAGTAACTATGGACATAACACAAAGAAATGAACAATAAATGTTCACTTTGTTCTTTCAGCAAATACAAATCTTGGGGAATTTCCAGTACCTGGTGCAAGATGGCATTTCCCTTGCAGCTGTCCTAACAAGTAGGTGACTTGCTCTGTTCTCTGTCAAATGGTGAAGGGTCTGTCTTACCTGATCTTACCCAGAAACAGGTACCACTGCATCCCATGATGCAAAAATCACCCTCTTCCGATGCGAGAGATGGAAATGTGTGCGGTTTGAGGATTCGGTCTGCATTTCCCACCTTCCTGAACAAATACTGTTCAGGTTCAAACCAAGAGGGGTTTTCCCTAACTCTGGGGCTGCCCTGGAGAAGGGCTCTGCCAGTGCGGAGACCTGCCCCCCACCCCCACCCCCGCCTGGGGCCTCCGTGAGGAGATGTGCCGCCTTTCCCCCTGGAACAAGAGAGGTCTCCTCCTCCTCCCTTTTGAGGACACGCATTGGGCCAGACTAAGCCCATTTTGGGAGCTCGGCGCTTGTTCCTTTCCACTTGCCCCTCTGCCCGCAACCAGACATGGGCCTTTGGGGGGGGGCTGTGCTCCTCAAGAGGTGTTTGCTCCCGCTGAAATGGGCAGCGTTGCCCAAATGCCCTCTTCTACCTTCGCGCCCTTCCTTCCTTCCTTTGCCCTCCCCACCACCTGCAGGGCTCTGTAGGGCAGCTGTGGGGCTCTGACCGAGAGGGTCAGGGAGCCGTTCAGAACCCGGCCCACCCAGATCTATGGGGCCCGTTGTCATGTGAGTGCCCAGAGAGTGAAGGTGGGTCAAAGACAGCGAAGGTCTCAGGCTGCCCTCCCTGGGGAGGGCAAGGGCTTTTAAGGGGCTTCCAGGGCACAACGTTGCCCAGGAGCAAGCCAGACGTCTGGTCAAAGACAGCCCAGGCTCACACACAGAGTTTCCCGCAGGAGGTCTGGCAGAGGGGTTGGGGAACGACAACTGAGAGGCAGTCCCAGCCTCAGAGGGAAACGTCTCTGCAGAAGCTCCTGGAGACCCACCAAGGTCAGGCTGAGGAGAGGCTTCTGGGGAAAGTCCTCCTGATGCCTTCCTGATGGGGGCTCTTGGGCCTTTTGGCTTGGCGATGCAGGGCTCCCTTCCCGTGGCGGCAGCAATGCTCCCTAAAGCCACCTCTCTGGACAGCCCAGACCTCCTGGGTCTGTTTTTCAGGCCACTCCAGGGTGCCACAATGTGGTTACGACTCGCCCTCTTTGGAAATGACGCCGTCTCACCCACCCACCCACCTGCCGTGGCAGGCGACGTGGCCTGGCTTCTGCCAGCCTGCCCTCTCTCCGTCCACCTGGTGCTGATGCTCCGGGCAGTGGGCAGCTTCCCTCCAGGGCTCCTTTCTCTTCCGACAGTGAGCTTGTCCCACGCCTATCCGAAGCTGGCTCCCTACCGCCCGTCCGGACGGCTCCTCTCTCCGCCTCTGATGCTCTCCGTCATCCTCAGCGTCGGCTTCACCCTCACCATCCAGACCTTCGGCTTCCTGTTTGTGAAGCAGCAACCTTGGTTCTCGGAGGCGCGCAGCTATAGGTGAGCCCCCCCACCCCCACCCATCCCCAGAGGGCTCCCAAGGACTAATTCTTAAGACGCAGAGCCGGACCTCACCTTCTAACATGCAAAATCCTTCCCCTTTCGCCCGCCAGGGTGAGTGGCAAACCTTGTCCTGGGTGGGGTTCTTTCCCTCCTGACCAGAAGGCCAAGGCTTGTCCCTTATGATCAGGAGCCTTGGCATTTCTCAAGGGCTCAGCCCTGACAAAATATGGGCCTTCTGGGGCTTGGCCTCGCCCAGAGGTGGCTGGAAAGACAGCCTGCAAGGAGGGGGGGCGGGAGGTAGGGACGAAGCCTAGGGTGAAGGCAGGTGGACCCGGGATGGAGAATCTCAGGGATCCTTCTCCTTCCAGGGAGTGTCCTTCTGGAAACCAGCCTTCCTTCCTGGGCAACGGGACAGCCAACTCCACGGCCGAGGCGCACCGAGTGCTGGGCTATGAGGGCACCACCCTTTTCTACCTGATCATCTTTGATGGCGTGATCGTGGCCTTTGTCTTCTCCAAAGGGAAACCCTTCCGGAAGCCCATCTACACCAACTGTAAGTGGCCCTGTCTGAGTCCGTCCTCCTCATTTGTGGCTAAATGAAAACAACAACAGCAACAACAACAACCCTCTCCTCGCCACCTCCCAGTCAGGCTGGAGGCGAAGCACCCTTGGCGGCTGAGCCCACACGCCAAAGGAGGAGGAGACCTGAAGAGATGAGGTTACACTTCTTCTCATGTCATAGGGTGGGTCAGGTTTCCTTAGGGAGCTTCCAAACCATTGCCCCATCACCCCTTGGAGTAGCCTGGCCTGTGAGATTCCCACCTTCCCCTTTGGAGGCCTTCCTGGGGCAGAGAACCACCGTTCTCCTCCTCCTCCTCCTCCTCCTCCTCCTCCTCCTCTGGCCAGGCACCCTCCCTGTTCTCTAGGGCAACATGAGAACTGGCCGGCTTGTTAGGTCCCGGCTCCCACCCTCCCTCTGCAAGAGGAGAGGTCCTCTCTGCTCTCACCCCAAGGGGGGATTAACAGGGGCCCCTTCTTTCCGATTCTCCAGATCTTTTCTCCATCCTGCTGTGCCTCCAGCTCGGGGTTTGCTTCTTCCTTCTCTTTGCGGACATCGATTCCGTGTACAAGGGGTTGGAGGTGAGTGTGGCAAGACACCCACAGGACGGATCTTTCTTCCACTTGTTCTGTAAGCAAGGTCGTCCAGAGCATCCTGCTGGTTTTGGGATTTGGGCCACCAGCAGGAGACGGAAAAGCACGCTGTCTGCTGGGAACAGCCTTAGCCGGCTGGCCTGTGAAGGGTCTTTGCTCAGGCTGAGCTGGGGAAGGGGGGCAGGGGGGGCGGGATGGGACGGGATGGAGGCAGCAGAAGACCTACCATGCCAGGTCAATGGAGCTGAGCTGAGGGAGGAGGAAGGGTCTAACTGCCCGGGTCCCTTCTCTTTCCTCACAGCTTCTCTGCACCCCAGTCACCTGGAGGGTTTACGTCCTGATCATGCTGGTGGTCAAGTTTTTGGTCTCCTATTTTGTGGAGGTGAGCAAACTATTCCCCCCCTTCCTTTATTGGGAAGTGCACCCACCTCCTTCCTTTTGAGCAAAGGGGGTTCCTGGGTG